ACAAATTTAATGGCCCAGTCCACAATGAACTGGTGAATTATTTAGTGCAAGGCCGGCTAAAAAACAAAATAAGATTAGCCACCTTGCGCGCTCGTCGCTAACAAAACATTCACAATAAAACTACTAGTACTAACCCTAAATCGCTTATCACAGCAACGAAATATGTCAACAAGTCCAACGACCTATTACTTTAAGCTTAAAATATTCAATCAAACTTGAGAGAGCTTTATCCTGCTTCGAATGAAGGTAATTTCATATATATAACAACAACATTGCAGTAGCAGACGATTTTCAGCAAGCAGGTTTGTTTTGAATTTCGCGCAAAGCTACATGAGAGCTATCTGCGCTAGACGTCCCAATCTGCGGGTCGCGAGATCGAATCCCTGTACCGTACATACTAGCCATTTCAGCCGTGGGATCGATATAATGTGACGGTCAATGTCACTGTTCGTTGACTGTAAGTTTTGTTGTCTAGTTTCCTTCCTTGTAATCTATCACTTCATAACTATAGACGACTAATTCAGATAGCTTTCGAGTAGCTTTGATAGAAAAGTCAGTAAACAAAAATAATCATAATTCGATCACAAACTTAGAAAACACTCGCTCAAAGTTTCCAAAAATAAACATATAATCAGAAATGCTTCTACTACCTAGAGGCTGGCTTTTATGTTTATATGTTCAATTTTTTATTTCATTTATCAACTGAAGTATTTTTGTATCGCAAAAATCATTATTTTATCCATTGTTTGTTTATTTTAAGTGCAAAGCTACACATTAGGCTATCTGTGGTCTGCCTAACATGTGTATCGAAATACAATTTGTATATTTTATTCAGTTTATTTTTTGAATTTCGCGTAAAGCTACACGAATGCTATCTGCGCTAGCCGTCCCTAATTTAACAAAGAAAGACTAGAGGGAAGGCAGCTAGTCATCACCACCGCACCGCCAACTCTTGTGCTACTCTTTTACCAACAAATAGTGGGATTGACCGTCAAATTATAACGCTCCCATGATTGAAAGGGCGAGCATGTTTGGTAGGACGGGAATTCGAACCCGCAACCCCCAGATTGTGAGACAAACGCTCTAATAAGCTGAGCACGCACACATATTGAAAAGTATTATGAGAATTTCAAAAAAAATGTTTTTTGAGGTTTCGGCTCTCATTTCAGAAAATAAACTTCAAAACTCACTATAAAATTTTTTGTTTAGACTTTTGAATTCGGCGTGGTGAATTTGAAAATAAAAATCTTCGTAAAGTCACGCTGAACGGAAATCCAAAATGGCGCCGACCAATGTGACCAAGAAGTCCTCGTCCTTAGTAATGCAAAGATTTAAAATAGCATACGCGTATATCTAAAGAACAAACTATGTAGCGCGCGTCGACTTCCTTCGTCATAAGTATATAACTATGTACATTCGACTAAGTTATCTAATACAGTGATTTTAAAAAACTGTAAAGAATATGTACATTATTAAGAATAATGTAGATATTACTCAGTAATTTAAATAACAAAAAAACATTTCAAGGGGTATATTTCTTTTGCCCCCCAATGGATAAGCGGTAAGTCTCAAGACTTGTAACGCTAAAAATATGGCTTGGGTGTCTATCGGTGGTGGGCACAGCATTTGTGTAGCTTTGCCCTTAACAACAAACAAACAAAACTTTCACTCGCCCTTCCACTTCCAGCAACTTCAGCGCCCTCTTAGGTCGTTTGAGGAGTTTACTTGATATTCACCCCCTCAACTGATCTTTCATTGGTAAAAAATTAAACTAAACTTTTAAATTTTCTTTCTAACAAAATAGTTATTTAAAAAACAGTTGTACTTCTCTTAACGGTATTCCATAAAGGGAAAATTAAAGCCTTTACAACTCATTTAGCTTTTTGTTCGACTTGATTACTTTTCGCCACACGATTTGTATTATTTTAAAGTAACGCTCTGGTAACGAATTGGTTAAATAAGAATGAACTAATTACAGTAATTTCTAATAGTGAATTGAATACATACAACATGGACTAATTCCTCCATATTCACTAATGTTTAACACTGTTTTTAATTTTCTTATCATAGAACTTCATTTGTGTCAAGGAAATCTTAAAGAGAAGCCTAATTATCTACGTTTAAACTTTTATCAAAGTCCTTAAAAGCTTTGACTTGCTAATTTTGGAACTTACTTGCACCAAATATTATCTAAATCTCTCAAAATATTGTAATACACATCCTAAAGAAGAAGATTGAACTACATCACTGATTAATAACTGTTTGTGACTCAGTTGTAACTAGCATCTATAATTTCGCGATCTTCGTTGCTTTATTTGTTTTGTTTATTGATTTCTTCTGCTTTTATCTGATTCTATCAAAATATGAAGATAGCTTAAAATGCTATAAACTGATTTTATCAACATCTAAACTACCAATGGTATTTCATTCACCGTATAAATGCATCGTTTCAGATCATTTAGCCGTATTAGTAAATACACTGAGTGGTCACAAGTAAATAGACACCTAATTTTTCGTCA